GGAAGATGATGGCGATTCATAAAATATTGTTCAGTTTTGTTCTGCATTAAGCAATTTGTTTGTCTCAAGGAGAAGAAAAATAACAATTTACTCTTAGTCCCTAAGGAAAGCTTACATACATATCAAAAGCACTGTCTTCTGCGTTCTGGTCATCAGCAACAATTCCTGCTCCAGGGCTCTTTGACCCTTGGAGGTCAATTGGTAGAAAGCCTCTTGCCCTGCTGTTTCCCTGCTCAGTCTGGAAAGAAGTTGAACATGGAGCTTTAAGAAACACACACCCTCGAAGAACAATAAACTAAGGACTCTGTCAGAATTCATAACTGAACTTAGGAGGCAAAACAACCACATCCAAAGTTATGGACTGTTTGAATCATGCAGACATCTCTTTCTCATATTTTAGAAAACCTAAGAAGTTTTAATAGGGATTAAATATTAAATGATACTAAGAATTTATTTTGTTAGGTTTAATAAAATAATGTGTAACAGTATGGTCTTGTAAGAAAATGTCACTTTTCTTAGATGATTACTGCAAATTGTAGGGATAAAATCATATGATGCTTGATATCTACTTAAAAAACTTAAGAGGGGTTGGGCACAGTGGCTCACACTTGTAATCCCGGCACATTGGGAGGCCACAGCAAGCAGATTTATTGAGCCCTTGAGATCAGCCTGGGCAATATGCAAAACCCTATCTCTACAAAAGTATTAACCAGGCCTGATACGTCTGTAGTCCTAGCTACTTGAGAGGCTGAGGTGGGAGGGTTATCTGAGCCAGGGAGGTCAAGGCTGCAGTGAGTTGTAATCGCACTGCTGCACTCCAGCCTGTGTGACTGAGTGAGACCCTGTCTAAAAAAAAAACTTAAGGGGGATAAAGAATAAATGAAGTATTATATGGAGGGCATTATGTTAAGTGAAATAAGTCACACCAGAATGAAAAATACTGCATGATCTCACTTTTATATGCAAGCTTGTTAGATTCTTAATTTGTAATTTAGGAATAACATTACCTCTTTAAAGGGGTTGCGTGAGAATTAAGTGTGATGATACAAGTAAATTTCAAGTCATAGTCTCTGGCATATAAGTATTAAATGAACTGTAGGTAGCATTGGTTATTTAATAAACATTTATTGGATTGTTAAAAATATTCACAATATCTTCATCACAGTTGAATCTGGGCAATGGGTAAATGGAGGTTCTTTATACTATTTTCTTTATTTTTATATATGTTTGAAAACTTTTATAATAAAAATTTCTGCTTTGCTACTTACTAGCCTGTGACTTTGGGCAAAGCATTTAGCCGTTTTATATTCTGGTTTCCTCAAGAACAAAGCAGAGATGACAAGAGTTCCTCTCTCATAGGTGTGCTGTATGGATTGAATACAATCCTGTGGGCCCAGAGCTTAGCACGGGGCCTGGCTCAGAGCCAGCACTCCATCATTATAGATTATCATTAGCATAGTATATGGATCTGGGGTCAGGAAAAGAATTTTACTATCGCTTACCCTCTCACTGCTGGCTTATTTGAGCCGCCTCTCGGATCCCCAAGTCAGCAATGCCTTGCATTATGAAAAATGAAAATGTGTGCAGGCAAATGCAAAAGCTAATGCTTCATTCTAATTGAATACAGCTCTAATGACACATGTACTTTCAGATGATAGAAGTAACCGAGAATTAGTCATTAAATAATGAGGGTAGGGAGAAGGGAGAAATGTGGGAAGGAAAATATACCACAAACAATGTTTGCTGGTTAACACACTTTATATTTAACAAAATAATTTTTTAATAATATATTCTTTTACACATGAAATATTGTTGCTAGAATCCCCTTTTTACAGTTTAGTGTTCAGGTTTTTTTTTTTTTTTCTCACTAGTTTTCAGGCACACCATTTTTCAAAGATTTTAGAAACTGAATCGTTTTTAATAGGCATCAGCTGACAAACAAGATGTTGATCCCTTATTTTAACATAGCCGTCATTAAAGCCGAGAACCAAAGGCGGAGGAGAAATAGGAGTACAGAGGTGACAGTGTGGCTGCAAACAAAGACTTCACAAGAAACAAACAACAGATGAGACCAGAGCTCTCTTGTTCAGAGTCCGGAAAGAATTTCTCAATGACCTGGGTAGAAGGAAGTTGTAAATGTTTATCAGTTTATGAGAAATTGTCACAGTATAAGTTCATCTCTCCCTAAAGAGGGAAAAACGTCAGTGCTACAAAATCTTAAAGGAAACAGCTTGTAGTGAAACTTTGAGAAAAAGAAAATCCAACAACAACAAAACCCACAATAAAACTCTCTCTCTCTAGCTGGTTATCAGAGGCCACAGAACAGCCTGCTTTCTACAAACTCTCTGAAGAGAGATCCTTAATGGATGTCCCATTCCATTCTAGTAAATTCTTGCTGTGACTCTCACTGTGCCAATACTTAGATGCAAAATTTCTGCACTTCAGCTTCCCAGTTGCACTCTTTCTGTTTTCTAAAAAAGGACATAGTAACTCCTTAATAATAGATAAGGTACTATGCTGCATGGCTCTATTAATGATATTTTCTGAGTTTCCAACCTTATTCCTGTCATTTATTATTATTATTTCTTTCCAAGAGTGTGGATTTTTGAAGTTGGCAACAGGCAACCTCAGGGCAAAGAAAGCTCTATAATACATCTCTGTCTAGACACAAGCTGAAGTGTGGAATGCCTTTACTTTTGAGTGCAGACATAAATCATGCAGCATTGCTCATGAATGATTCATGACTGTCTATATGATGTATCCATGGTGGCAACTGAAAGGCACCAACCTTGCTGCAAATTGGTGTTCTAAGGGAAGGTGGCTTGATGTTCTTCCTCAGGATGGTGCCGGCATGGCTATTTGTATCATAACACAAGCACAGTGTGCGTCAAAATGTCAGGTCCAACTCGTCGGCACATTAATTTTGGAAATGACAACTCTTTCTTGATGACAGGAGATGCTTCCAGGGAGGAGAGGCTGACAATTTTAAATGAAAAACCAGTTGACAAGACTAAAAAAATACGTTTCCTGAGGGTGGGCCTATAGCATTAGAAGCCTCACTCTCTATGGAGAAGACTGAGCCCTTGGGAATACTGACTGTATATGTTCCAAAGGGATCAGAAGCTCACAAAAGCCACACGTGCTGCTAGAGCTTGCCTAGTGTGTTCCCTGGCAGAAACCACTATATACCGATTATTCTAGGCCACTGGTTCTCAACCAGGTGAAATTATGCCCCTCACTCCTACTCCTTAAGGACATCAGGCAATATCTGGAGACATTTGGTTGTCACCCGCCGCTGGGATGTTGCTACTGGCACCTAGTGGATAGAAGCCAGAGATGCTGCTAAACATCCTAAAAACACATAGGACAGCCCCCACCAACAGATAATGATCTGGCCCCAAATGTCAATCCTACTAAGATTGAGACGCCTTGCTCTAGAATATGGCACTCCACAGGAGCTATGGCAAAGCCCAGCTTGGGGGAGCAGAAAAAGAAAGAACGTTGAGAATAAAGACAACTGTAAAGTCTCTTCAAGGACCCTATCAGATCTGTGCCAGGGTTTTTACGACAGGAGCATGGAATAAGCAACTAACTATGCCATGTGGTTTCAGAATTGTTAATTTTGCACTTGAATTGAGGTGGCATCAGATACCCTGTGTATTTTGTTTTTTCTGTTACTATACTAGCAGCATTACCAGGGCAACCTGGAGACTCTTCAAAGGTTCATTTTAAGTTTTCAGTATCTAATATATACATTTTAAAAAATGTTCAACAAATGGAATTGTATTGTGCAAGACTCACTCTACCCTAATCTTTAATTTTAATCAGCACTTGAGGTGGAAAGAGTGTCCTGAATCTGTGTTTCAGACGTAGGGCTGAGTGGTTGTTACTACAACATGGCAAATACAGTCCTGAACTACAAAAACTGCCAGTGTGTACTACTGACTTTTAGCCAAATCTGAACTCAAAAGCCAGAGATGTTCAGAAGGATTTGGATTCACAGTGGGGTTTCTCACCCTGGTTCTGGTATTTATATTGCCCGATGACAGAGTGAGTTTAGAGTGTGTTTAGTTACAAACCAAACTCAAATTTCACATCATGAAAAAGTCTGATGATTAATGCTACAATTTTAAAGATCTGTCTCTCTCTGGATTCTTCAGTTAAGCTCATGGTATTCTTTACATAATAGATTTTGATTGGCAGTTTCAAGGTTTTCCATGTGAAATGTGTGGTTTGTAAGAATTGTGAGCCCCCACGTAATGGACAAAGTACTTGTTCCCAACCCTGTCCAGCAATAGGTCCGTCTATGTGCCCACCCCCCTTTCCTTAGTCTACAGGGCATGATTCACCTTAGGGGAGCAATTGACTGGATGCTCTTGTGTCTCCCAGCTCGAGAAAGATCTTTCCCCTGACATTCCTTCACCAAACCTTTTTTGACACAACTCAAAACTTTACTGTGCAGTCAAATCTAGCCCCTTAGACTCTACAAGTGAAAAAAAAAAAAAAAAAAAAACACAGGAGAACAATGCCATGTACGATGTACAGAAGAGTAAAAATGAAGTAAACCAGGGGTCAGTGAGCTGGTAGGTCAGAGGCATCACCAGGGAAGGAGCCTGTGCAAGGCTATTTCTTTCTTTTTGTTCCAGAAATCCGTTCGTCAAGTCACCATCAAGCATTGGTAAATACAAAAGCGATTTAGATAGCTATATACTATATATATTTTATATAGCAAGAGAGAAAGAGAAATTTCCTCTTAGTAAAATATTCACTTTTGTCAACCCTAGAAGGTTTTGCTGGTGACCCTGTTGTAGCTGGCAGGAGTTTGTTTTGTTTTGTGTTAAACATGTGCAGTGTTGAAGCCATAGCATCCTTTCCTAAGAACTTGTCGTTGGTTGGAAGTTTGTCCTACACAGTCTGCTTGCCTTGGCATTCACGTTTTGAACACTGAGCAGGCTTCCACCAGTCCCCGTTGTGACAGTGACAGATGTTACATTCGTCCACTTTCACTTCAATGCCAGCTGGAATTATTGTAGTTCCTGCAAAGCAGTTTGGACCTGGAACACACAGATACATTGATTAGTTGATTAAATCTGCAAGCCTCCCTTTCTCCCCACCATCCAAACCCAAGCCCCAAAGCCATGAATGAGTAGGTCAGACTACTGACTTATCAAGGAATTTTCTAGCCATCTCCTTGAAATTCTGCTACCTTTTGCACACAGCTCATATTTCCCATGTATATCGTGAACTTAAATAAAAAGAGACAATCTTCAAAAAAAAATCGTATTGTCTGCTTCCTGAGTACATGCAGTTTTCTAAATTTAGGTTCTGTGGGTTAAACTCTATTTGTTTTGTCCTCTGGGATGTAAAGGCTGCCAATGTATGCTCTGAAACACGAGGGAGTGCTGACATGGTCTGCCTCAGATGGTGGCACCCGTGGCCTGCCCTCTCCCTTCCTGTGGTGGGTTTGAGACAATAAACTCGCTCGTTCCCCAGTTTCAGTGCCTCCCCAGCACAGTTCCTGGAATCCCCAGCTTGTTTCTTGATAAGAATGAATAATTCATGACCAGATGATTTATTCATGTCCTGAACAAGCTTTGTTAGAGGTTCATTTGATTTTTATAAATGGACTTCCTTTAATCTGCTGGCTATCTCTCTCTCTCTTTTTTTTAAAGAATAACCCAAAATAGTGGGCTTTTGAAAGTCAGCAGGAATTTTGTTTTACTTTTTGACATTCAAAAGCCTTATTGAAAATGTCCCCTGCTCATTATAGATGAATGTTTTAAAAATTCACCCATTTCAGGTTTTTAAAAAATTCTTGTCTCTTTCCCTCCTTTCTCTTACTTTCCCCTTACTTTCTTGCATTTTTTGACCTTCCCAATGTAGGAATACCAGTGTTCAGTGTTAGTTATTACTATAGTTTCCAAATTCAAATGGAATAAAAATTGCTTCCCAAAGTGCAATGGATTATAGTAGGGTGGTACAAATTGTTCTTTCTTGGAAGCAATTTGGTATTAGGTCTCTGAAGTACACATTTGGGTAAAGAGAGAGAACATTGAGTTATGTCTACCAGTGATTTATTAACCCGGCATTACTGGCCACTCACCATAACCACTACAAAGTAATAAGGCAATGCATATCAACATCAGTGCCCTACTTTCACCTTCTTACCCCCTTGATAAGTAAGACTGTCTTTACCATCAAATAAATGAAATTTGGGGCTTTGTGTAGTTCTACTTCATATTTGGAGTCTTGCTTTTATAAAATTATAATTAATTATACAACATACACTTTTCAACAGAAAGCTATTAAATATGTTACGGTTTTAATTGCCCATTGTTTCAGAGCTCCCAGACCTCAACAGTGCATACACTTACCGGTGGTGGAGTGCCTATGCCTTTCTTCACTCTGTAACACAAACGCTTGGCATGTGCTCAAGCATAAAGAGCCACGCAGAGCAGGAGGGAATAAGGGTCAGCTCTGACAAGTAGCTAGCAAGCTGTCAGCCTTCGCCTGGGAGGGTGCTTCTTGTTCATTTTTTGTTGTTGTTGTTTTTTGAGTCAGAGTCTCACTCTGTCACCCAGGCTGGAGTGCAGTGGCACAATCTCAGCTCACTGCAACCTCTGCCTCCAGGACTCAAGCGATTCTCCTGCCTCAGCCTCCCAAATAGCTGGGACTACAGGCATGTGCCACCACACCTGGCTAATGTTTTATATTTTTAGTAGAGACAAGGTTTCACCATGTTGGGCAGACTGGTCTTGAATTCCTGACCTCAGGTGATCCACCTGCCTTGGCCTCCCAAAGTGCTGGGATTACTGGCGTGAGCCACCATGCCCAGCCTTGTTCTCACTCTGATTCTAAGCCACTGGCCATCCTTACTGCTGATTATTTAAGGACTACAATATTCCATAGGTCTTGGGATTTAAGTCATTGTTTGATAGATTGGACTGCCTTTGGGTCTACAGCTCCCTGAGAAAATTCAACACCAAACTGTGAATTTGTTCTGGACCCAGACCTGAGGGAGTCTTCAGAGAACTTGGTAGAGAGGTTTTTTCCAGAATGTAGCTCATTCTCCTAGGGCCCTTGTTGACAGACCTCTCTCAGCCCAACCAGTTGTAGGTCAAACAGGGTCTTGCCAGGGCTAACCTAACTTTAGAAATCATACTAGAGGGAACTTCCACCTGTTTGCCTGGCATCAAACTGGAGAAGGCAGTGGTTCCTCTTACCACCTGTCCCCTTGTAACCAAGTCTTTTTACCCTAATTGTGTACTTTTAACTTTTCCAGGTGGGAAAAAAAAAAAAAATTGAAATAGTGGTTTTAAAAGAAGTCCCTGAACCAGGCAAGATATTATCCAGTAAGAGTTTTCCCAACTTCTTGAGAAGATTTGGATATTTGACAGAAGAAGCTTAACTGTGTGAGCATGTAAGCATGCGTGTGTATGTGTATGTGTAGAGACATGCTACTGGCTCACAGGAGGATGGATAATATCAGTGGCACAATAAGAGAGACAGGCAGGGAGGAATCTTTGTGAAAAGAGAGTTCTTGCAAATCTCTATGCATATCCTGAAGGGATATTTGACTAGAGCTCTGGTTTTCATATCCACCCCTTTCTGCATATGCTGATATCGAACTATGGTTAGTGTGTATTTGACTAACCTCTATACACCATTTCTTCAGAGTCATTTAGAATTTGCTGCACTCTCAGCTCAAGAAATATTAATGACTGTATATTGATTGACAGAATGCAAAGAAAGATCCTTTGCACGTGCCAGGCCTAACCAAAGGCACTTCTGTAAATTATATGGTAAGCTCTCACCTCTACCTGATAGCCAGAGGTATTTTACAGAATCAAAAATTCCTGTTTGATCTCATTAGCTCTAGTAGTACAGTGATTTTTATTAGTACCCTTCTGAGAACCTTAGGTGTAACTACAGAAGTCTCAAGTTTGCTGTTAATAGTCTTATCTGCTTAAAAGTAATTTAGATAATTGTCAAGCAGAATGGTTGGCATTATTTAAAAACGGTTCTGGTTTTAGCCCTTCTTCCTTAATAGTGGTGACAGTACATGCAGATTTGCTTTGAGCATATGAGAGCCCACCATGAGTTCTTTACGTAGCAACTCTATCCTTCTATCTATTGTCTACCTTGTATTTGGGGACTGCTTTCTTTTTGTCTCGGTAGATGTAAGGGAATACGTTTCTTAGAGTGAATTCAATGGCAAAGCAACATATTTTAATGCAGAGGATTTGGAGAGACTCCAGAGGGGAACAATGAAAATGATTAAAGTGAAGGCAGGCAAATAGGACCTCTGAGAAAAGGTTAAGGGGATTGGAATTATTTAATCTAGAAAGAGAAGATGGAGGAATAACTCAATAATTCTCAAAGAATGAAGGCTTATTATGTAAAAAATGGTGACCAACTGTTCTCTCCTCCTTCTGGGGCCTAGAATAGGGGGAAATGGAGACATATTGATTCTCAATGAATTGAACACACTTACACATCATGTAAATTCTTCAGAAGACTGAGAACTGAATGTAGTAGTTGCCAACAATGTGGTGTGGTCTTCTCTTTTAGTGATCTTTAAGAATATAGGAGGTAGGCCGGTTGTGGTGGCTTACACTTATAATCCCAGCACTTTAGGAGGCTAAGGCAGGAGGATCACTTGAGCCCAGGAGTTTGAGACCAGCCTGGGCAACATAGTGAGACCTCGTCTCTACCAAAAACAGAAAGCCAGGAGTGGTGATGTGCACCTGTTGTCCCAAATACTGGGGAGGCTGGCTGGGGAGGATTGCTTGAGCCCAAGAGGTCGAGGCTGCAGTGACTTGAGGTTTTGCCAGTGCACTCCAGCCTGGGCAATAGAGGGAGCCCCTGGCGGGGGGAGGGGAGAGAGAGAGAGAGAGAGAGAATGAATATGAATGAAAGAGAGAATATGAATGAAAGAGAGAGAGAATGAATGAGAGAAAATATAGGTATTATCTGTCATGTATGGTTTAAGTAGTCAGATCCTTAAAGACAGGAACTGAAGCTTTGTTATTTCTTATGGTCCAGGTCTACTACTGTGTCTGACAAATATTAGGAAAGTATAAATTTTTTTAACTGAATGAAATAATATAAAGTACGTATATATTGGAAGTGAACTTAATTTCTGAACTTATGAATCAGGCTTTCTATGTGAAGCCTAGGGTTAGTATTAAACGTATAGGAGTATTTGGTAATGAATGAAAACACATGGTGATAATTTCTTGAACATTTACTTCAGGCCAGAAATTTGACTCATTTAATTATTACAACAAACCACATAAAAAGGTGCATGTTCTTACCTTCAGGACACTGAACCTCACAGATAAATCTCCCTGAAATCACACGTCCAGGAAGCGGCATCAGTGGGATATGAATTCAAATCTCTCAGAACTACAAGATGTTTCTAATTGCCCAGGAAAGGAGGCAGGTAGCTAGGAGTGCATTACTGTATTCCTTTGCCCAGATCCTGAGCTTCTGATCAGAATTTAGAAGTCTAGTTGGTTTTTGTGTTTGCATACTGAGGCAAGAAATTTGATGTGGCTAGAAACAAGTGAGACTGGTTTTTCTACAGGTCTTTATCAGATTTACTGGTTTTATATTGTGTATTTATATAGTCTTCAGGAATCATAATTTATTTTAAAACTAAAGGAAATTTCTCATGGAGAAGATGCTTGGGCAGTTAGACTTTCCTTTCGACAGCAGTGAAGTTCTCACTGCTACCGGATGTAGACCAACCAAAAAGCGGAATGAAAGTGGCCCATAACTCAAGAGACCTGGCTCAAGTGGAGGTTCTATGACTTATCGGCTCAAGTGCTCTCTAACCCCCACAAAAATGGGAGTCTATGTGGTCTAGTCTCAGGATTCATGATTTTGAAAACATGATAAAATTGGAAACAGAATTTTTTACTGGGAGTTTGGAGCTAGGAGCAAAGAGGAAAAGGTAGGAATAATCACACATGAAAACTTTTTTATTTTTAACAAGACACATGAGTAATTTTCCCTGCCAGGCATGGTGGCTCACATCTGTAATCCTAGC